GAAAATGCTTCCTTGGTTAAAGACTGAATTTACCACATCCGGTAACCACTCTGACGATTAATCACTCTCAGTTAAAAGTTAGAAACCATAAAACCCAATGACTGAAATAACTTCACCTCCCAGCTGTGTGTACTGCTTCACTCTGTCCCTTAAAGCATAGCCTTTTACTTCCAAATCTGAGCAGAGAAGTACTCTGAGGGACAGATGAACTTCACTGTTCATCCTATCCTCTCTGACATACACGAAACAGGCCACAGAGCTTTCTGAACTCATTTTCAGTATTCTTCAGTGAATTTGGATCTCAGACCTGACACAATATCTGAAGACAGTCATGTCAGCACATTTCAGCTCCTGTCACAGTGATCCCATCTTGGATCCTACTCAGAGTTTCCCTGACTGATGGGTGAGAACAGTCTCCTCCAGGAAGCATCATTTTTTTCTGGAGTACTGTCTGCACCAGTTTCCATCCAGGAGATATAAAGATGAATCCTAGTGCCTGAGAAGCATAAAACCCGTGCCTAGTCTTCTCTTGCAAGGGGAGACTCAAACCAGTCAGCTTCCAGCTACCTCCACAGCCTTTTGGTGGAGTTCTGCCCTCCCCACTCAGATGTGGCAGAAGCACTGTAAAGGACATTGCTCTTCCTCACCTGCTGCAGCATCACCTGGCTGTCCACCACACCTGGCTCCTTCTGGCTGTTGGGCTTTATACAGCGCACGAAGTGCGGGTTGGCAGAATACATCCTCTCCATGAGCATCATCAGGGAATGCTGGAGAGGGCAGAGAAAGATCAACAGTCCAGCAAGCCAAACCACTGCCAGAGTCTAGTGTGCAACATCCTGCAGTGAGAACTGTTTTCCCACCCTACTGCAGCTTTCTCTAATAACAACCAGGTTGTTATCCCACCATGATGAGCTGTGCTTGGTACCCAGAAAAAAACCTGCCTACATGCTGGATGCTTTAACTACATTCTAGCAGCCCGGAAGCTCTCACTACAATTTAACTGCACTCATCTCAAGGGGCACGGCAGGGCAGCGATACCTTACCCGGAACTGAGCTCCCACAGACTGTTTTCGTGTGCTGTTGAAATTGTCTGCTCCTGGTAAGACCTGAAACCAGACCCAAACAAGAGATCACCCCTAGAAGAGTGCTTGACTGATATCCAAAAGGCTCTTGTGGAAGGCAGATGGCAAAAAGGAGAGAGAATGGATTTCAGGTGAGGGAAGACAAATTAAACATATCAGCAGAAAGAAGCGAAAAACCCAGTAAAAAAATCAAAGGAGAAATTGTTGCAAGAAAATTGGTGCTTGCTCTTATTTTCAACCAATTTCTGTCTGCTCTCATTTTCAGCCATTTGCTCATATAATAAATATCAGGTAACTTATGCCATCATTTATCAATTGCCATGTGGACCTGAAGTGCAATACCTTGGCTTTCATATGAGGCATCAGTGTCCCTGTCCTGGAGATAGTGGCTGGAAGAAGAGAGACAACATTTAATTTTGTACATTTGCTGCAGTCAACGAAGTCTAAACACTCAAAACTCAATACATACACATCTCCTACAAACGTTAAATCACAAGACAGGGTGTTAGGTTTCACCATGTGGAAATACAAGGAAAGAGCTAAAGAAAAGGAGAAGAAAATGCAAATATACGAAGCACACAATGCAGGCAGTATTATTCTCTGTCACTGTGAAGACAAGGCAATCAGATTACTGGACAACCCTAAACAATCTTCAAAAGGAATATCATCACTTGGCATCTAAGAATGCAGAAAAAAAACATACAGACACCAGACGGGAAGGTCACCTAGTGCAGCAAATACAGCAAGTTCTATAAAGTCAGGTAGCTTAAAACCAATTTAGTGACAAGATGAAAATTTCAGAGAAGTTGAATTTACTGCAGGATCTAATGATAGACTTGTATACCCTTGTTGAAACAGTCTCCTGTGAATCACAAAATGGTTGAGGCTGGAAATGACTTCTGGAGGTCATCTGGGCCAAACCCTTTGCACAGTAGGCTCAGCTAGAGCTGGCTGCCCAGGACTGGACAACGAATCTGAGCATAGGTTATCTCTGCTTTTCATGGACTTTCAAATAATTGGGACTAGACTAAGTATCTTTAGTAACAGCATGGAAGTGGTAATGAAGAAAGATACTCCTGAGCAAAACAGATGAAAAACATGGTGGGGAATATAAATGAAATTCATCAGTTATTTGTAAATCACAGAAAGAAGCATAGACTGAACAAGACAGAAAAAAAAAAATTTCTCCATCAGATGCATTGTGTTCAGCCAGACAAATACCAAGGTAGCATCATCCATCAGGCTTTTTTTTAGATGTTTACTTTCATAGAAGCCTTGGAGACTATAAGGTTTTATCAATAAGTGGAAAAGGAAGTGTAGTGGTGGGAGAGAAATAATGCATGATCTCAGAGCTTTTTAGCAAATTGTACCTGAAAAACAAAACATATTTGCAAAGGATAAGTATTTGTAGCAGTGTCACAGCAGTAACAGTGGCAGTTACAGCACTGTTTTCTGTGAGAACAGCTAGAAGCTATGACCTTGTCCAGCTTCATTTCTAGAGAAGAAAAAAGTATATGGAAACGGCCGGTGGAGACAGACCTGCACTGGCCCTGGAGAAGGTGGGCTACCTGATCTAAGGGAAGATATTTGAGCAATGGATAATTCTCTGGAAGATGATATAACCTGCCTTGCTTTCTCAGGGGGAAATGAACAGCTCGGTACATGCCAGAACAGGTCAGTACCAGCCTTAAGCCTCAGTTTAGGCTGCAGCCTTCCCAGAATCTCTCTGGGGCTGCCAGCTGTGAAGCACATTTGTAACACACAAGCCTCATCTCCACACTTAACTCTTGCCAAGGTGGGCCTCAGTTCCTGTGGGATGCCCTATCATAGCAGTGGTACTTGCCTGTGAACAGCACACTGAGCAATGGGGTGATGCTGTTGATGAAGAGCCCACGGACATTGGCTGGCAAGGTGTCTCTGTTCTTCTCCAGAAAGCCCCCAGCAGCATATTGTACCTAGGGCAAAAGGGCAGTAAGTCACTAAGGCCTGCAGTGCTGAGGCTTGCTGTGAAAACCACCTCCACAGCTTGCCAGGAGCAATGGCTAAACTGAATACTGTACACTGGCTCGCATGTGAATTTTGTAAGTGTACATGGACCCTGTTCAGAAGCAAATCCTGGAACAAATGAGGAACAAAACACTGCAGATGGCACTGAGGCATCTCAAACACAGCACTGCAGCACAACACTCAGACAGCCACCTTTTCTTGTTCCTCTTTCCCTGACTGGGAAGTTTCATTTACTTTTGGCTTATGTATCTCTCTTTTCCTTGCTCTTCCCCTCTTCCCTTTGAGCCAGCTCCCATCCTGTTGTTACACTTTTCCTTGTTCCTCCTGCTCCCCTCCTTTCTCATATCCAGCCTGGCACTCTTCTTTCTATTTTAGGTGTTACTTGTTGTAATGAAGAATACTACAAGCAATAACTTAGTCAACAATGGTGAGATGAGATAACTAAACTGCACACTACAATAACCTGAATGGTCATGCCTGCTCCTGCTCCAAAAATTATCTCCAATCAATTCAGCGTATTGAGCTCAACGCTTTCAAAATCAGTGGCAGTAAGGTTACATAGTCCTAAACCCAAAGCTGTTTAGATACCATTTGAATGTATGATTAATTGCCTCCACTTTCAAAACACTTGGCTGCTCTCACATTGCTCCTTACTGCTTGCTATAAAATAGTGATTGCTATTCTCTGGAACCCAATAGGTGAAGGCAAAGCCATTAGACCACCCTTGCGTGCTGCACAGTGGATGCTGGGCTTTTATTTTATAACTGACTATTTTAGGACTAAAGCTCCAATAGAATAATGATGAGTACAGCAGATTCTTCTAATACTCTATGCTTCCCAGCAGTAGCTCCACTTTCCTCCGGGATCTTCTCTCTATATACCTTCTATATAAATCCCAAGAAATCCTAGAAGGCAGCTCTTTGGGGACATTTCACTTCTGTTATTATCTTAATCGGATAATACACTCCTTAACATCAAAGCCTTATTTGTCAAACAACACATTTTCCCCCTGCTACGTGCAGCAGCACTCTTCCTGCAAACAGTACATACTTTTCCAGCATAGTGAATGATACTGAAGCCCAAAACACGGCCTCGGCATGGCTGGAAGTGTGAATTCCCCTTGAAGCTGCTGTTCAGCTTATCCACAAACGTCTTGTCAGTTGCCTGCAAGAAAGCAGATTTCGTAATCAGACAGTAAGGGTGCAACAGAGCCGTGACCAGGGCACATGGAAGAAAAACAGAATGCTGGAGGCGGCCTTGGCTTAGGCAGCCGCTTCATACTGTATAGTCTCTGACTTTCCACAGGGGTAACAATATCATTACCATCCCTGATCTGGCTGTCCTCTCTCATCAGTCACATATGGGAACAATTCTGCTCACCAGTTCTCAGTGCTGTCCACATATATATTGCTAAGTTCCCCCACGCTATTTTGTCTGCCTCCTATCTCATGCATACCTGAGGGAATGCACTTTGCTCATCCAGAAGAGACAGGAGCCCAAGTGGCTTGGCCAGGAGCAGATTCTGCAGGGAGAGGAGACACACTGCACATATCTAAAGCAGTACAGGACATCCACTCTCACCTATGCCAACCTGTGAAGAGGTTCTTTACAGGGGCACCCCCTCCCCATGATAGCAAGAGCAGGACTCCCTCTCTTGGCTGGATGGAACAATTCTCTTTTGTCAACTCTCACTCACCAGAATAGGTTCATTATTGTTGAATGTGATAGTCTCCCAAGGCAGCTCTTCCTCCTTATAGGCAGCCTGCTCCAGCTGGAAAATGTGCTGAAACGGAGAAAAAAAGAGGTTGGAACACCCCTGAACATCTTCCTTCCCATTCTGAACACTGGACATAAGCATATGGCTCTCTTACCAATGGCATGCCCAAGGTGAAACTGCTATTCTGCATGCTCACCCACAAGCCTGCCACTTAATGCTGATGCACAAAGCAGGAACACTTCTCAGAGTGTGTCCCTGCGCTGCCAACTTGGGTCATTGCTTGACCTTTCTATTTCTTCCTTCCCTGCACCAGTGGCACTGTTGCAACAGCAAAGAAGGTTTCTGCTCTCTACCTTGCTTCATTAATCACCATTTCTGTCCTAGCAGGCAACAGATATGTTTTTCCCCACACTCTCCTTCATATGCCAGGTAGATCAGTGCTCTGCTTTCTCCACCTCACAAGGTGAGATCACCCACAGAACTCTTACATGGTTGAAGAAGTGCTGCAGCTGTTCATTGACCAAGTTTATGCAAAGCTGTTCAAAACGATTCACTGCAAAGTTTTCAAACCCAAAAATATCCAAGATACCTAAAAGAGGGAAGATGAGCACATCAGAGCTTGAAAACCATCCCTGCAGATAGCTGCCTACCCCAACACACAACTAAACCTCCCATCACCCAGCTCTTGTGGCACAGGGAAATCCCAGCCAAGTCACCAGCAGCACCTCCGTTATAACTCCCCTTTGAGAGCTAGTTAAAAGAAGCCCAAATCCCACCCTTGGCTCCTCTGCAAAGCCAGTGTGTCCCAGGACTACAGCCTCACAATTGCTTCAGACCAACCAACCAACAGCTTAGAGTTAGCCAAGTCCCCACAGACTTCATGCTGCTGACTAGTATCTCCAACACAATCATGTCTTTGGCAGTAGATCCCTGTGCATAACAATCTCTGCGAAACCTCATACTGTGTTTTTCCTTCATTAGGGCTGAGGAATACACACTTGAGGGCAGAACCGGAGCCAGGCAGACAGAACTCACCTATCTCCCTCAGTTCCACCTCAGGATTCACATTCTCAGCCAGCAGCTCATTGATCTTGCAAACAATCCAGCCAAATACTCGGCCATAAGCCACCTTTGCAATGGAGTCCCGAGAATCTGCACAGAGAGAACAGCAGCAGCTCACTGAAGGGCTCCAAGGAGAGCAGGGAAGACGGTACACAAGCTGGCCCAATACATTCACCTCTAGCAACAATGTCTGGTGTTTTATGAAGCTATTTGAAAGATCGGATGAACACTAGATATTTGTCTGATCATCCCTGCCCTCTGTATGTTCATGCAGAGTTCCTTCATTCCAAAATCTTCACAATCTTTCTCTGAGATCAGATATGGCACACTAGGGCACTTGCGAGACCATCTAAAATAGAAAACTGAATTTCCAACAAAGTCCAGCCACTTTTTAGAATATCCATAGATTTACTTTGCCCTCTGCACATCTACTGAGCATCAATCCCCTCACTGCTAAACCAAGCAAGAGGCTTCAAGTTGTACTTGGAAAACTGAAAGATTCTGTTCCTCCTAGCCCACAGCTGCCAAGTGTTTACATGCTGTGGGCAAGAGGAGGATGCAACTAATGGAAAACTTGCTGACATCCTGAGAATATGACCAAATCAACATGACAGAAGATATGTATTTTATTGCCTAGAGAGATGCAAGAGAAGACATTTGGAAAACAGAACTAGTTAATTCTTAATTTTCATTTTTTTTTGCTTCAATTTATTTTAAGCAACAATGCAGAAATCCTGGAATTTTATGCCTTTTTTTTTTTTCAAAAATTTTAACTGAGCCTTTTTGTGCAGAATGTCTTGGATTATTTTCTTTTCTTATTGAAAGAAAAAAACAAAAAAAAAAAAAACAAACAAAAAAAAAAAAAAAAAAAAACAAAAAAACAACCCACTTTGTGCTGGCTACTTCAACATACTCCACATTCATCTCACTCCTTCCCAGAGACTGTGCTATCTCATTGATTGTCTCAGTTATACCTTCAAGTACTATCTAGAGCTCTGCATAGTGCCAGCACTCTGCAACAGGAGCCTTTCCCTCTTTTGTACAAAGAGCTACTAGGCTGAACTGAGGGAGAAAATAAAGCTAATTACTTGGGTTTTCATTTAATCTCTGTGTTCTCTGGGAGATCAAACAAATGCAGCATTCATGGTCCTACATGTCAGTAAAACACTAAACAGATAAACCCTGACATACTTGCCTCTGTACAAGAGGAATGAAGGGGCACAGACAGACATCTTTGTTCCAAATAAGTTGCACATGTGGGGATACCATTCCTGCAAACAGAGGTCAGTCTTTCTAGCCAGCACATCTGCAATTGATTATGGTTTTTACCTTCTGCCTGCTGCTGGGTGTGAAAACGCTGAATCTGCTCCCCTCGGGTCACTGACATGGTACAAATAAGGCATTTTAACAGCTCATCTTCCTGGACTCCAAACTGACCCTAGGAAACAGGAAATAGATGAGGACAGTAAACCCTTATTCTGCTTGTGGAGACTGTATCTCCCTGTGTCTATGTGACACTCAGAGTGATGGGGTCACGATTCAGATGACAACCTTTTGAGCTCCACTGTAAGATAAGTACTACGGTTTACATCTCGAAGCACTGGATTTAGATGCAGGCTTTGAGATCTGCACTATTCCTGCAGTGACCAAGCTCCCTCTTGTGCTCTCTGAAATACTTTGCATTTTGCTCTCACGGTGCTGCCACCTTTCACCTTCTTTGGGAGCCACGCCAGTCCCCGCTGAGGAGTTTAATGACTTATTGAACAGCACCACACGGAGGTGGCTGTGCAGGTGCTAAGGATGTCTGAGCTTCAGCAGACATCAAAGTCACACAAACCCACAGGAGACAAAGGGAATTCAGACACAACTGAACCCCTTGGTGATTGCTTTAACAGGAATTCCCCTCCCACGAGCGAAAACCAAGGAGCAGACTTTAAGAAGCAAGACAAAACAAAATTGGCTGCTGAACAGATGTAGGGCATTTCAGGCATAGAGTAGGAGGGAAACAGGGAA